GTGTGGGTGGAGTTAGTGCACATGCATGGTGCTGCAACGTGGCTGAGTTTGACTGCCTTGGGCATCTGCCCCATTTGGCCATGTTCTTCAATTTATGGCCTCCAAGGACTTGTTTGCCACTTATGTAGCTCATAGACCTGTGTGTGGGGTCTGGTGACCCAGCCTGGTGTGTGAGGGGTTTGGGGACCCAGCCTGGCATGTGAAGGGTTTGTGACCCAGTCTGTGAATGGGCTTGATGGGTCTGCGAGCTCCAGTCCCAGCCCCAGCTTGACAATTTGCCCAGTCGGCAGGATTACAGTCAGGTAAAAGAGCTCAACAGTTTATTTGTTTTGTTTTCTTTGGGGAGGGGGATTGTAAGAAAAGGCAACAAATTAACAGCATTTATTTTAAAGTCCCCAAACTTTATGATTACAAAGGGTATGTAGACTTTTCTCCTAAATGGTTATAATAGGGTTTAGGCAATATATTTCTCCTTAAGGATACAGAGACATGCTATATTACAAACAGCATGGGATATTAAGGCAGACCTATAAGGGCTAGATCATAGACCCACTTCTTACTGCACTTATGACTTTGAGAAAATTGCTTAACCACCTGGCTTTAACATTGTTATCTGTAAAATGGGGAAAGTAATATAGAAATACAAAATTAGATTATATATGAAACTATCTGATATATGTATGTGCATATAAATGTGCATTCTTGTCCTCTTTTAGTAGAGGAGTTCATGTAAAAGAAAAAGAAAGAAGTTGCATGAAATCTATGACATGACTTGCTGTGCCAACCCTTTTGAACAATTAAAGTGCTAAAGATGCCTGTGGACAAGTTCGATCTTCAATACTGTTGTTATAACTATGGAGAGGTCAAATCTTTTTTAATATTTAAAAATGTACCCCCAATCTGCAAAGACATTGCCATTGACTGCTACCTTGAGTGACCAGGTATAAATAGTTCTATTGTTACAAATACAAACGTGAGGCAGTCTGCATTTGAAACAGGCAGGCCCATTGAATACCAGAAACTCAATAGAAAGTACTTCTTAGTACAATATATAGAAAATGCTAATCTCAGAAACCTAGTAAGGAGACTTTACAGATTGGAAAAATAAAAAATGTTGACTTAGCTAAATCTAAAAGGGAAGAAGAAATATTAGGATCATTTACAAAAGAGATAATAAAGCAAACAGAGAAGTCAAAAGACTGCAGACTAATAAATTTCTCTAGTAGCTGTATTAGTTTTGTTTACTTCTTATTTCTAATCAATATTGCAGAGAGCAGTAGGAGTGCAAAATACAACAAAAAAAGAAATAAAGAAAATTAGGAACTTGAGAGAAAAAGGAAGAGAGATAATTTATCATAAGATTTAGGGCTTTGGAAGAACATCTAGAGAAATGACAGTTTACATTCTTGAAGGAGAAAAAGAAAAAAATAGTGGAAAGTTCGTAGCAGATTTGTGAGATCTGGAAAAATAATATTCTGATTATAAAAATTCTATGAGCCAAAAGTATTTTTACTCATTCAAGACACATTACATAAGAGATTATTTAAACATCTACCACAAAATGTTGTATATAAGAAAAAAGGTTCAAGCTTTCCTTGGCAGTAACTAGACATGAATTTCAAATATCATTCAAAATCTTATCTCAAAATAAGTATGAAATAAAAATAATTGATGTTGTAAAGTTACTATAGAAAAATAACATAAACTCTTAAACCCTGAGAAATAAATTTCGGGTTTCTCATGTACTAGAATGGAGTGTTAAATCTGTGAAATCCACTGAAAACTGAAATAATTTAATTTATGCTGTCATTAATCTATACTCTTGGAAGAATGCTGTATTAGTCCATCTCTGTTGCTGATAAAAAAATCTGCAACTGGGTAATTTGTAAAAAATGAAATTTATTGCTTACAGTTTCAGAGGCTGGGAAGTCCAAAGTCCAGGGAAATCATCTGGCAAGGGTCTTCTTTGGTGGTGGCTTTACAGCAATACACGTGTCTCACATGGCAGAAAATGGCAGAGCAGAGAGAGAGAGACTCGCATGTGCTCTCCTTTTAAAGCCCTAAGAACCACATCCAAATCATCATTATTAATACATTCACTACACCATGGCCCTATAATCAATGACCTCTTTAAGGACCCTCCTTTCAATTATAATAATAGGATTTCTTACCCTCAACAGTTACAATGGGGATTAAGCTTTAATGAGTTTAGGAGGGCCATTCAGTCTACTGCAAATGCAATGTTTCTTAAGGACAGAATCATGAAAAAATAAACTTGTATACACAATGAAGAGACTTGGAGATAAACAACTTTATTAAGAATAAGGCACAGACACATAAATAACTTCTTGGGTTGATGCTATTAGCTCCAAAGCAGGAATAGTGATATTTGGCAAGATATTTGATACTGTACATTTAAAATTTTGATTACATTTATCACATGTCTTTTAACCATGGAAAGTATTTTGAACATAGAAAATTTACCTTGGTTGGTTGAGTATTTTATTCTTTAAACAAGTAGAGGTATAAGTAAAGGTCTAAGCAGGAGAACAGAGCACACAATTGCGAGTATCTCTGGTTATAAAAATTTTAGTGACTACATCTATTATAGTTAAAAAAAATTACAGATTTACATGAACTGAATTGACAGAAGCATGTTAACCCTTAATGCTACTTTTTCTTATGTCTGGTAAATGTAAAGCTTTGCTCTGACATACTTTCATAAAGCAAAGAATGGAAGAAATCAGGATGCAACATTAAACAAATTAGGATCACTAAATTCTTAGGATCTGTAGCTTTCACATATCTAAAAAGCACAATATATTTTTAAATAAAAATATTACTACTATATTTCAATAAAAATATTTCACTACTATAAACTTATGTAGTGAAAATAAGAAATTTAGATTATGGGTATTGTTATACCTTAATACTACGGAAAAAAAAATTGGTCTATTAATGTTGCTATGCCTCATATTAATAAGAATGTTAGGAAAAATGAATGAGAAATTTAATGACAACTTTGACTATTTAAAATAAGCCTGTAATCTATGGGCCAATCCTCATCCACTGCTTGTTTTTGTAGATAAGGTTTAATTGGAACACAACCATGCTCTGTTGTTTGCATGTTGTCTATAGTTGCTTTCATGCTACAGAGGCAGAGAAGAGTAGTTGCAGCAGAGACTGTATGGCCTGAAAAGCCTAAAATATTTATTCTATCTTATTTAGATTCTCCAACTCCTCATCTAAAAGATCCTTGGAAGCAATTTTTATTTTACAACAATTCTTAAGCCATGAAAACCTCAAAACTCAAGATTAGGGCCAATCGTGTCCTTTATATTCTTTTATCCAATGCCTTACTATTAAATTTCTGAGTTATATGGAAAACTTTGGTGTTCTTCCTCCAAGAAAACTCTTTGATTGATTCAAAAGTCGTAAATTTTGTGAAAAATTGGAGATGAGAAGAATTAGCAGATTGTTTAAGGGCTTTTAATCTGGATCATCTTCAAAGAGTCCATAACTGATTTAAATATGCAGAATTTTAGCAGTTGTGTGTCTGAGCATAATCCTTTTGGGAAGTCTACAGCTTTTCATATTTTTGAGAATGTAATAGTAAAGTCTCAAGTGATTTTTGTAGTAGTTTGTGACTGAGAAAATTTAATAATACTTGATCTAGACAAATCTTAATCTTGAAAGATAAGGATGATGAGGCCAAGGGGGTTAGTTGACTATTTTCCAAAGCAAAGTAACTAGAAGTGAAAGTTGGAACTTCTTGCTGTTGTTCAGAGGCTGTTATTGCTTGCCAATTTTCCAAAACAAAATCCTGACATAAAAATCAGAAAAGTTGAATATATGTGGAATTAAATATGTTAGGCAGTTGTACTTCATGTCCTCTTTTAAAATGTGGGTTACTTTCACGACCTTGAAGATGAAGAGGTGAAGGTGAGATTGAGGAACAGGATTGGATTCTCCTCAAGTTCCTGGTGGTGCATGTGGCATCAGCTAAGCATGGCATGCACAGTTTGGTGTAAAGCAAATTGAGTTTATTGGCCTAAAGTCACTGCCAATTATAAAATTCAAGCAGACACCAGAAGGCTCGACTGACCCCAGTACTACAGCCTCCTTAACATCTCAATACTATAGATATTATAGCCTGGAGTTTGCTTGTTTTTCCCACTCTTACTTTGTGCTAGTTCCTCTTGGGTTTTTTTTGGGGGGGGAGGGGGGAAGAAAAAGGGAAAACACCTCTTTCTCAACTGACTGAAGTTGTAATTCTCTCTTTTTTTTTTTCATAATTGAGATTTTATTGGTTGTGTTGAGGATCATTACAGACATTTCAATTTGTACACAATTCTTAACATATGTACCGAAATTCTAAAAAGCCACATATCATGATTTTTTTAAAAAAGTTTTTCCAGTGACCTTCCAGCTTCAAATTTGGAGGCAAATTTTCCTTAAGAGGATATCAAGTACCAGTATCTCCAGATGTTGGTAAGCTGTTACATAAGTCCCACCAATTCACAATTTAATATCATATACACTACATAATCAAATTTCTAATCATTCACAACACATTAACAAAACTATTAGGAAAACTAGACTACCATGACCAAAGATGTTACAGAGTGCACAGAGTTCTGACAGGGAGAGCAATGATTAAGGAGTGGTCTTCTTTAAGAAACAATTCTACTAAAAAATAACATGGGAATAGAACTAATTTTAAATGTTCAAGACACAGTAAATATGTGACTGTGACTTCAAATTGCCATTTAGTATGCTTTGTATTACAGGATATAAAAACTACCTCCATCTATGGAATGTTAAGCTGACACCCAGGACAGTCAAAGCCTCCAATAATTCAATATTCCACTATTTTCTGGTTGTACCAAAAAATAAACAACCAGCAAATGATTTTACCTCTTAAAAAAAAGCATTTACACTTAAAAAATGGGATGAGGTGGGATTCCCTCCTTCTTAAAAATGTTTCTAGAACTACTAAAAAACTTGCATTTACAAAATAGTTGATAAAAATATTCCTCTGGATTGTACAAGGGTGACAGGAACCACTGATAAGACTTGGTATACGATATTAATCAGACTTGGCTTCTTTCTCTCCTGCTTCATCAGAGGCTGGACTCTCCTCGTTTTTAGTTTCTCCATTTTCTGCAGGTAAATCTTTAGTTTCTTGGTTAGTCACTTCAGCCTGTTTTCCCTTTGCCCCCCTTTTCCCTTTTGTTTGTACTTTTTTGTCTGAAGATTTATCCTTGGCTGCTGCCTTTTTTGGCTTCGTTTCCACTTTTGCAGGAGCAGGTTTAGCTGACAACCTCGCCGATCTCCTCTTGGGCTCCTCTTTCGCTGCCCCTTCGGCTGAGCTGACCTTCCTCTTGGGCATCCTGGCGGCGGGGAGGGCGCTTGCCGGGTTCCTGCGGGCCGCGGCGCGCTGAGAGCCTTCGCAAAGCTGGGCTGCTGGGCCACTGCCGCTCCTCCCGCCGCCCGAGCTCGTAATTCTCTTATTGACTGGCTGTCTCTGCTTTATACTCTTTGAATATGAACATCGCGCTGAGCATCATGCTAGTGAAGATTCACTTTTGTGTAGCTCCTCTAGGTGTTGGTGTTTGCATGTGACATTTGCTCACTACTTCTGCCTGACCTTCTGATGACATTCACAAACTCTGTTCAGGAAGGATTGTCTCTTTTCCTCCTGTGATGCTTAATATTATGTGTCAATTTGACTGGGCTATAGGGTGCTCAGAAATTTGGTCAAAGATAATTCTTAGTGCTTCCATTAGAGTGTATTGGATGAGATTAGCACTTAAATTGGTAGACCTCATAAAGCAGATTGCCCTATCTAATAGGGGTGGGCCTCTTGATTAGTTGAAGGCCTGAAAAGAACAAAAAAGCTGACCGTTCAGTAAGTAAGAGAGAATTCCTCCTGTTTGGCTGCCTTTGAATTGAGACATCAGATTTTTTTGCCTTAAGACTCCAATTGTAACATTGCCCTTCCTGGGTCTTGAGTCTGCTGGTCTTCAAAATGGAATGACAGCACCGGCTCTTCTGGGTCAACAGCTTGCTGACTCACTCTGCAGATCATTGGACTTGTCAGCCTCCACAATTATGTGAGCCAATTTATTATAATAAATACCTCTTCTTTCTATCTATCTGTCTATCATGTATTTAATCTTCATGCGTCCTATTGATTTCATTTCTCTGGAGAAGCCTGAGAAATACACCCCCACACTGTGGCAGTCCTGTGAGAACTATAACTCCCAATTTCTTCCACTATCCATGGCCAGCTCCAGGTACCTGTGCATATGCATCCATATTATACATCTCTCAAATAGGGACAAATCATCTTCCCTTGCTTAGACTTCTTCATATAAGAATATTGACACGGAAGATCCCTAGAATAGAATGGAGGGTAAGGATGGCCACAGTAGAAGTGGCATTAGGGCAGTTTCTGACCCTTCTACAGAAGCCATGAAGAGAGATGGTTGGATCTACCTCTTTAGGGTTCCTTTAAAATGTCAATATCCTGTATATTTTGTCATCAGCTCTGGGTTTTTGCCACAATTATGGGACATGCTAGTATATATAAATTTGCAATATGTGTGTTCTTATTTTCTATGCCATTATTAATTGACCGTAATGTTTGTTCCAGATTTTCTCAATTGCAAACAATACTGAAATGAGTATCCAGATTCATATCACTATATGAACATGAATTACTTTTCCCCCCAGAGTATATAATAAAAAGGAGAACTGCTAGGTCATAGGGCATTAACATTTGAAATTTTAATGTGTATTGACAAATTGTTCTCAAAACTAACTATTCTAAGCTATTTTCTCAAATCCCAAAAACACATAAAAGTATGCTCAAACACAGTAGTGTAAGAATATACAATCAAAGGAACAATGAGCTACCTTCCACTATTCATTATATTGAGAAATGTGGACTTTTTTACACTGCTGATGGGAAGGAAAGGGAATAGAATTTAAGCAGTGTTCACACTTGCCATTTTTTTCCTGCAAATACTCATTATAAAAATACCAAAATATAGAAAAATTGAAACATTTTTACAAAAAACATATGTACACATACACACATACTCACATGCATCTGTTTGCAGATATCATGGCTCTTTATTTCTTATTTTTATTTTTTTTTGTCTTTTGTCTTTTTTCCGTGTCCGGCAACAGATCGCAACCCTCAGTGTTGCCCCCGTACCAGACCGGGGACCGGCAACGGGATCGCAAGCCTCGGTGTTGCTCCCGCGCCCGCGCCTCGCTCAGCCAGTGAGCGGGAGCCGGTCTGTATGTGGGATCCGAACCCTCGGACGGGAGCGCCACCGCGCTTCCCAAGCGGCGCACTATCCAGTGCGCCACTGGGCCGGCCCATGGCTCTTTATTTCTAAGAACATAAATTTGAGGTAGCATACATTACTAAATAGCAGACATCTCCTAAGGACATACTTCTCCATAAACACATCACTATCATATCCAATAAAGCTAACAATAATTTCCTAACATCATCTGTTATTCAGTACACATTTAAATTCCTCCAATTATCCCTAAAATGTGTCTATATAGTTTCATTTATTTATTTATTTATTTATTTTAAAACAGGATTCAATCAAGCTTCAAGTATTGAGTTTGGTTGTTATAGTTCCTTACATTCTTTTAAACATTGACCTATACTGTCTTGACTACACTAGTTCATGTGTTATATATGTTTTATTTCTTAAACAGAATAAAGCTAAATTAGTAAAATATTAAGATTTGAGGAATGACTTCTAGAATAGAGAAGTGAGGAACACAGTGGACTTTGTCCCCAATCAGCAACCGTTTAACTGAACAAAAACATAAATTATAATCATTAAAGCCTCTGGAAATTGTTCTAAGGGCATTTGGCAAATGGGGAAACATTCATGAAATTCTACTAGATTTCTGTCAGGACAGTGAGTCTGTGGCACTTAAGCTAGGACCTTCTCTCTCCTCACCTCAAGATCTGTTTCAAGGAAACTAATGTAAAGCCTCTCATTCAGGTGGGTACAAAAAGACAGAGGCTCCCATTGCCCCAAGATCCCTTTCTGGGGCTCTGGATTCACCTAGGAGGGGCAAGCTTCTATTTATCATCTCCTCCCTTCCCCAGTCCACAGTGTGCTGAGACTCTGTTCTAAGTAGATGCAACTAAAAGGACTGCATCTGTCACCTTTCACCCAGGTCACACTTGCAGGGTGAACGCTCTACCCCAAGTAGAGAATACTGGGCCCTGATCACTCCCACTCCAACTTACTTGTGACATGGAACTTTTATGCTGGGAGGAGAAAGCGAAGAAAGCTATAAGTTTCACCACCCCATTGGTGGTTGCAGGTGGAGCATAGGTGTCACTTTGGGAGAAGTGGATTGGTGTCCACCCCTGGCTCTTGTACAGAAGTGGAAGTTCGGCCCAGGTGAGAGATAGGCCAGAAAGAGAGGTCTTAAGAACAAAGATGTTCACAGTTCTAACTCAGGGGACTGACATTATGCGGAAGAGTACTTGGAGAATTCCATGCAGAAGTGTGTTGCCAAAGCAATGGAAATTTTGGTGGAGAGCCATTAGGAGGGCACTCATAGATCCATGATACAAAGGGCAACACATAAAATAGCAGATAAATAAGAAGTTTACCAAAGAGAAACAGTAGGAAAGACTGTGAAGAAGGGCTCTATTGGCATCCCAGTCAACTCTGGGAGTAATAAAGGTTGTGCTCAAGTGCTAGGCTGCACCCACTGATAAGCAATCAGAACAGCATAAGGGGTAAACTTGAAAAGATGCCCCAGTCCACACACAGATTAATCAACAAATAACTGATGCTGTATTGGCTCTAAGAATTTGAGCCTAACCTCTGTGCAACCACTGACTGAACAACATATTACTCTGACACAGGGGCAAATCCTAGGCAGCCAGGCTTAAAAATAAAATGATGTGCATCCTTGGCAATCTGGAAGACTGTGAGCATGTTCAATGCTGTGCCCTCTGAAGAGTGACTAGAGCAGGAAAACTCAAGCTAATGGCTCAACATGAGGCAAGAATATAAACTTCATAAATTGTGAAAGCAGATTCTAAGGTATACAATTATCCAATGATAAAGGGTAATGCTCTAACTAGCCAGAAGGATTAAGCACAATCTTTGATAAGTAATTGGCTTATGCTGAACCACAGGCGATCCCTAAGTAGCCAGGCTAAAAGATTTAAAATAATAATAATAAAAAAAATATGAGCAGGGGCATCACAGCCTGAATATCATGAGAGAAATGGTAATAGTCACTAAATAAATAAGTAAATTGTCAAGAAAACAATAAAAATAGCATCAGCTCTCCAGAGTAAGGAGATCAATATCCACCGATGCCACAATATATTATCTAAAATATTCCCATTCTTTACAAAATATTGTCAGATATGCAAAGAAATAGAAATTGTGACCCATGAAGAGGAAGGGAAAACATACCAAGCAATAGAAAGTGTTTTTCAAGGGTGCAAGATGTTGGAATTAGTAGACAAATACCTCAAAGCAACTATTTTAAATATATTCAGAGAAATAAAAAATACCAGGTGTGAAAAACTAAAGGAATGTCTGATGACAGTGACTCATCAAACAGAGAATACCAATAAAGAGACAAAAATGATAAAAAAGAACCAAGCTAAAATTCTGGAGTTTAAATGTGTAATAAAATAAAGAGTAGAAGAAATAAGTGAACATGAAAAGGATCAATAGAGAATTTGTATTCTGAAAACCAGACAGAAAGAACAATGAAGAAAAATAAACTGAGCCTCAGAAAAGCTCACCATTAAGTGTACCAATATGTGCACACTGAGACTAGCAGGAGAAGAAAACAGAAAAAAAGGACAAGAAAAAATATTTAAAGAAATCATGTCTGTAAATATCCCCAATTTAATAAAAGCATTAACGTACACATCCAGAAAGCTCAGTGAACTCCAAGCATGATAAACACAATAAGATCAACACCCAGACATATCATAATTAACATGTTGACATCAAGACAAAGAGAAGAATCTCGAAAGCTGAAGGAAAAAGACTCATCACTTTCAAGGGAAACCTGATAAGTAAACAACAGACTTTTTATCAGAAACAATGGAGGCCAGAAGGCAGCTGGATAACATATTCATAGGGCTGGAAGCATAATAATTGTCAACCAAGAATATCTATCTTCAGCAACCCTATCTTTCTAAAATGAAGACAAAATAAAGACATTGTCAGAAAAACAAACAAACCCCCCCCCCCCCCGAAAACTTGTTGCTAGCTGACCCATCTTATAAGTTTAGCGGTAGATTATATGAGTGTAACTATTAAGGAAAAACCTACTCACTCTGGGAAAGAGATGCCAGCCTCTGAAAGTGAGGTCTCATTCCATGGTGCCAGCGATGGTGAGAA